GTGTGTGTGTGCGTGTGTGTGTTTTGCTGCTGTTGTTGTTGTTGTTGTTGCTAGTCGGCTGGGCAAAATCTTTTAATGTTCATAAGGGGCACCATTAACTTCGCTGATATCATGCTTAACTTATGTGTAGCAACCCTGGCTCAAGTCCCTATAACAGCCATCCACTTGCAAAATTTTCGAAATTGTAATTTATAGGTTTAACGCATCTTTCAACACTAATAATAATTTTTTTGTAATGGGACTTCCAAAATTAAGGCCCGCCTCTGGTAGGACCGAGTTTAGATTGAAAATTGGCAAAGAGCCTCAAAACCAAAAAAAAAGCCCAAGGTCAGAACACCCTGTAAGGAGATTCGAACCTTGACCATCCACCCTGTAGGCCCATATGGTACCAACTGAGCTAACGACTTACCCCCATCCAATTAATTTAGTCCCAGAGGAATGGGCGTGAACTCTGAGGTACAGCGCTCCAGTTCAGTTTGTGCAGGCAGGGCATAATTCGGTTGTTCACGGTCATTACAAAAATCTACAATATTCCAGCAAATCCATTGCTCCTGTAAATCAAAATGTATGTTTATTGTAGTTAGGAATCATTCATTTCTACCGAGGTTGGTGTTTATCTTATTCTAATACTACCAGTAATAGTTAAATCAGGAATAGATTGAAAGGGAAGTTTACGATGTTGGAAACTTGGATAACAATTAGTATTTGCTGCGAACAAATACAACAGTGGAATAGACGTCCGTATACTGAGGGTCAAATAACCTACCAGAATTAAAAAGAGTGTTTAACCCTTGCCATACCGTTTGGGATACTTATAGATGGTCGGGGTGAAAAACTGAAGAAAGATGATGGGAAGAGAGTAACTGTTTTAAGCCTTGACGCAACAAAACACCTCGGGATCGTGTCCAGGGGACTTTCTCAGCAAGCCAGACCAAGCTGTGACAGGTGATACCTCAACTTCAACTTCCTACACACAGGTAACTTCAGGTAAGTCACCGTAAACAGCGCGCCGTTTCTTTATGGGGACGCTGAAAGGAGGCGGGAGGAGGGGGGGGGGGTAAAAAGACAAGGAAATGGAGGGAGAAGTAGGGAAGGAGGTGTATTTCATATCCCATACTTATGCTTTCACTTCCATTTGTTACTTCTGTCTGTCTGTCTGTCTGTCTGTCTGTCTGTCTGTCTGTCTGTCTGTCTGTCTGTCTGTCTGTCTGGTCTTCTTCTTCTTCTTCTTCTTCTTCTTCTTCTTCTTCTTCTTCTTCTTCTTCTTTGGTGGATTGGGGATGGGTTTAAAGTGAAAATATACATTAATTAACTATCAAAATGCGTTGCTTTGACATGGTTCAAAGCAGCGGCAAGCGAACGAGAGCACATGTGGTCGCTTCTAAGGACAAGCGGGATAACCCGGATTTCGGGAGTTTCCAGAAATCTTGACCTACACCAAAAATGGGCTTTGCCCTGCCTATAGGAGAAGTTTGGTTAGATTGGTGTGTATATTTGTTCGGTTATAGAGAAAACTCTCCTTGTTTTTAAAGAAACTGAATAAGGGACCTTCAATTTTCTCACATCAGCATTTTTCGGGATAGCCTCGTTGTGCTTAAAAGCAACCATGATGGGTTTTTTTCTTCACTGCGCCCTTTCCAAAATTCTAAAACGTTGCTGCTGGGACAACAACTTGGAAAATCGATAGCGTCAGAAAAAACTGAGTTGTATAGGTTTTGTTTCTGAGTAAAACTCAGTTACTTTCAAAGTCATCCTTAGTGAAGGAGACTTTGTTCAATTTGGCATTCCGGTCCACTGCAAGTGCTGTTTGAACAGCTGAATTTTTAAATAGTTTATTCATGTCAAGTTTTTTGGGATGTGGTTACCCATGAGGACGCCTTTTTTAATAATAATAATTATATATATATATATATATATATATAGTCTTATGCCGACATTGCTCACAATCAGTCTGTTGTAAGTTTCTCACTTTGCACCACACAATTCGCGAGTGACTTGCTGATGTCACTTACGTCTTTTCACTTGAGATAATACTCAATGAGTGAGATGCCTAGGCTAAGGCTATCCATGATTATCTGTGTTTTATTGACAGAGGTGAAAGTTTGCGTTAGCGATGAACAGACCATGTTCTGAACATGTCTGTCACAGTTGAAGGAGTTGGTGGTTGGCGGGTGCTCTGGTGTGGTTTGCTCGTTCTTTTCTCTCAAACATCTATCGTCCTTATCTGACCTCCTTCTGTTCTGTTTGTAACTCTCTTGTTACACCTCTAATCGTCGGCACGTTTATATGATCTTATAGGGTTGCAGGTGCCATAAAATCTTACTAAAACTAAAACAATTAAAGGTTGCACTGTTTACAGATGACACTTATATAGTCTGAGACTACTCTGGCGTTACAATAACTGATACAAAACCAAGTACCGGTAGTCAAAAGCTTGGACTGAGCACAGAACGGACTCGGGGTCACAATAGAGTTTATTTTCGACATAATTCACATTGTTACACATTGGGTCTTACTGAAGAAAATTATGAGAGCCTTGAGTCTGCATGGCGCCTTTTGGTAGGAGTGTGAGTTGGGCATCCGTTCCATTGCAAAGCCAACACCATTTGCTCACTTTCTGAAAGATCGGTTCCTTTCCAAAAGAGAGTATAGCTGCCACTCATTTCTTTCAACTGAGCTTTGATCATCAGCAAATTTAATTTGGCAAAAATCAACAAAATCAAGGTCATATATATTATATCGTGGCTTATCTACATTGCAATGATGGCTGTCCTCCTTTCAAGACTGGGTCCCTTATACTGAAGTGTACGAAGGTTTCAGCAACATATTTATTTCCGACAGCTTGTTATTATTGCTTTTGTTGTTGTTGTTCATTAGAACTGTGGCAACCCGACTGATCGCGGTAAACCCGGCCCGGAAAATAAGATGAACCTTCTTTTGCCATAATTCTTTTCTAACCGCTTCCAGGTGTCGAGTGAGCAGTGTTGTCTCAAAAAGGCTGATCAGATTCCATTGGTGCTGCTGAACTATATATCCATCACTACAGGGAATGAAACGACAAAAGCCCATGATCACATAACATGCAAGTTTGTGCTAACAGCTCCCAGCCCATGCAAGCCTGCTACTACCGCACCCATCCATCTCCGAAGGAATAGCGATAAGATAGACATGAGCAGGAGTTTGACTTTCGCAAAGATTTTTTTTAAACTGAAAAAGAGCAGTGCAAACATTCGACTCACTCGCTTGCTCTGGTACAACGTATCCCATATGGCAATATGAAGACAAATGGATCAGATCAGCTACGTGCAGGAGGCTGTCAGAATGCCATTCATATTGAAGATAGACTGCCTAGAGTTACCACCAGAGGCTCGTAGTCCCAGCTAACTAAGGTTTGAGGAGCTTGGCCAAGAGCACTTGATAGCATTCC